GGGATGCAGAATTCTAGAACCAAAACACTAACCAAGTTACTACAAGCAGAGTGGTGCAGTTCAATGAGTGACCAAGGAACAATCAGACTGCTGCGACAGGTGACCATCCAGAGGGAGGTGGTTACAACCACCAGTTGCTAGTTTATCACCCAGAGCCAATGGATGCAGTCACTATACAGACACAAACAGACACTCAACCAGAAGAGGAGGTGAAGGTGAAAGTTCCTGAACCAGTGGGTGAGACAGGGGAACTGGAGACTGCTGCAAAGACAGATGAGACCCTGGACCTTACACTCATTGCAGGCCAACAAGAGAGGAAACGAATAAACATCTAGTCTGTAAACCTCAAAAGGGGCTTTATGGGCTTAAACAAGCTGCAAAAGCATGGTTGGATAAACTGACTAAGATGCTACTCCATCAGGGCTTCAGACAAGGCAAAGCTTACCCATGTCTTTACAGTGGACACAAAGATGGAAGATGGACATTTATTCTGACCTGCTGATGATCTGATTATTTGCCATGAAAATAAAAATGACTGTGCTGAGATTACATCACAACTAAACAAGAAAGTAGAAGTCAAACACCGAGGCAATGCTAACTTTTACTTGGGAATTCAGATTGAACGGGAACAAATGGAAGTTATCTTCTTTGTCAAAAGCAGAAGATACTGGAACTATTGCAAAGCCTGTGCCTGGAAGGTGTTAACCCAATGCCCACACCAATGGAATCAGACATCTGCAAAGAAAAGGTACCTGATGAACCACTGCCGGACAACGATAACTACAGAGCTGCCACAGGCAAGCTTTTATACTTAGCAATGACAAGACCTGACATTGCAACAGCTGTAAGTATACTAACCCTAACCCATCACTAGGATTGGACTGCAGTTAGAAGGGTGATGAGGTACTTAAAGGGTACAGCACACTTTAAACTGAGACTGCCAGGAACTAATAATCTCATACTGTGAGGATATGCTGATGCGGACTGGGCTGGAGAAAGATCAGACCTAAGGTCCACTAGCAATTGTGTATTTTTCTATGGGGGTTGTGCTATAAGTTGAGCAAGTCATAAACAAGAAATTGTTGCCCACTCATCTACTGAAACAGAATTTGTATCTGTTTCCAAAGCATGCAGAGAATTAGAGTGGCTTATAATGTTACTGGAGGATTTTGGTATTAAGCCACCCTTGCCAGTTCAACTGCTAGAGGGTAACCAGAGTTGTATAGCCCTCTGTCTTTCAGAAAAGAACAGCACATGAATAAAGCACACTGGAATTAGGAATCAGTATGTAAGGGTCCTGCACCAGTGTAGCTTGACAATATCATTTGAAATTTGAATTGTCAAGCTACACTACTGCCCCACTGAGAAAACGACAGCAGACATGTTTACCAAACCTCTACCAAGAGACAAATATCAAGGCCAGTGGGACAACCTGAACATTGTCAACTGCCTAGGGAGGTGGTGAGCTCCCCCTCACTGGCAGCCTTTAAGCAGCATCTGGACAAACACTTGCCAGGGCTACTCTAGGCTGATCCTGCACTGAGCAGGGGGTTGGACTAGATGGCCTGTACGGCCCCTTCCAACTCTGTAATTCTATGATTCTGTGATTCTATGAACCTTGATGGCATACACATTTTTCCACGGGGAACCTCAGAGGAATACACGTACACCACTGTCTAGAAGTGAGCCAGAAGAAGAGTTTGAGGTGAGAAGAAAGAAGAAGCTTTGAGACATCATACATTCCCCACCTCTTTCCCAACCATTAAGAAGAAAGGGGAGAGTTCTACTCAGTGTATCCTATAGAAGAGTATGGGGCTGATAGCAAGGACTGCCCAGGAAGCTGTATAATGAGTAGTGGTTGAGTCCACCTTCCATCTTCCAGCATTTACATCTAGCATAAGATCAGGCTGATTTCACTCCTGGTTGTAGGTCAAAAGATGAAAAAAAAAAAAAGGTACATTGTGCCCAACACTCCGGTTGCCGCCAATGAATCTTCTTCCTATATTCTCGGTCTGCACCATAATAGAAGCGGGGATTAAAATGCCAGGCATTGTCTTTGTTGGACTATCGTCTGTGAATTGTGTGCTCATAAGATCTGCTCTAAAAATATACGCATGGAAACAGGTGTTCACTGGGCCTCCCCAAGGGGCCTTGTAGTCACTTCTTTCAGAGTCAAAGAGTGCAGCCCCATAGAAAGGGCTGAGATTGTGCTTAACTGACATTGCCTCATTCAATCAATACTGGTGTCGTTCATTTTTTTAGGGATCAACAATGAAGAAAGTTGTGTGAAACATCAAAGAGTGATTGACACATGGAATTCACTGCCACAGGAGATGGTGGCAGCTACAAGCATGGACGGCTTCAAGAGGGAATTGGATAAACATATGGAGCAGAGGTCCGTCAATGGCTATTAGCCACAAGGTATAGATAGGAACTCTCAGTCTGGGGCAAGTGATGCTCTGTATTCTTGGTGCTGGGGGGGGCAGTGGAAGGGCTTCTACTGTCCTGGCCCAACTGGTGGACCTCCTGATGGCACCTGGTATTTCTGGCCACCGTGTGACAGAGTGTTGGACTGGATTGGCCATTGGCCTGATCCAACATTGGCTTCTCTTATGTTCTTATGTTCTTAATTGTATCTAAGCTCCGCTATCTCCCCAGACTCTGAATGCCAGGTTACGCCCATGGATATCTAGACTGTGGCTTCACCCTCAACCATCCTGGTTGTGTCCTAGACTCACCAGCTTCCACACACAACTGGCCAGCTTCTGCCTCAGTTCTTGTCCTGGCTCTGCCCTCTAGCTCCATCCAGGGAGGGGCTGTGGCTGAGTAGAAGAACCTCTCCTTTGCATGCCGAAAGTCCCAACTTCAATCCCCAGCACCACTAGTTAAAAGGACTAGGCAGTAAGTGATGTGAAAGACCTTTGCCTGAGACCCTGGAGAGCTGCTTCCAGTCTGAGTAGACATACTGACCTTGATGGACCAAGGGTCTGGTTCAGTATAAGGCAGTTTTGTGTAGTCGTGTGTGTTCAGGGATCCCATATTTCTATAATCAGAATTCAGGAGCTTGAGATGAGGTCAGATAATTAGGACCCCGCGGGGGTTTGCAAGCAAGCAAATGGAAGTAAGATAAGTGAGCATACGTGTGCTGCCTGTTACCGCAGAGTTGGTGCTGGCAAGCAAATAAGCGAATGCCCCACAGTTTCCACAGTTAAACTTAGGGCCCTAACCTGCAACAATCAATATGATTGCTGCCTCAGACAACTAATGGTTTGCATTTCAGTACATGGGCTATAGCTAAAGAAAAGTAAATAAAATATCACTCTGGAGATGCTTAAAGTTTGGTGCTAGGAGCCCATTGCAACATAAGATCATAACTTTCTACCAGTTCTGGATCTTGATTGCAACCCCCCCCCCACACACACCCGTTGCTAGTGCAGACACTGTTACATCTCCTGGGCTAACTGTTGTCCCTTGCACTGGTCCCTTGTGCCCCGTTGTGTGACATCCTGTAAATATTTCTGCTCCACAGAAATCAGGTTGCCTTTTTTACAATGGAAATCTGTGGGCTGGGCTATGTGTCTTTTAATTACTATTGTATATGCCTTGTGACTTCTAGGTGCTGTCTAAATAACATATGATTGTACAAACACACAATGGCAAGATGCAGAAGTAACTGAAGGGGTTCATGAGCTGGATCACACTTACCTGCAGCAACAGAAGCCATAGATTTTCTGCTGCAGCTAAACCTGATCCATATGTTCCGGTCCATCCAGAAGATATGAAGATCTGTTTGACTGTGTGTCTATATAGGATACATAAGAGCCAGCAACTTTAATATTGTGTGATTCGCCTTGAGTCTCAGTGAGAAAGGCAGACTTGAAATAATGTAAATATGTGGATTAATATGTGTGGGTGTGTAATGCACAGGATGTATGAGAGCATTTCATGTGTACCAAGTGTGCAAAGTGTGGGTGTGTGGTGTGGATGGGGACATAATCCCTTTCCTCTGTGAACAGGGCCGTACCAGAGGGGTATCTGTGTCTGTTCTATTTTTATCAACCAGTTGCAGTCTGGCTTCAGCTTAAGACTCCCATCCTTTCCCTATCCCCTCACAGTCTGGAAGCATCCATCCTCCAGGCACCAACGTCTTCCTGCCAGGACTGCACTAGGTAAGGTACTTCAGCAATGGGTTAGCCTCAGAGAAATCACGAGCCAAAGGAAATCAGTGTGATAGCTTCAGAGAAATCATGTGCTTATCGATTTGTTGGTTGGAGCAGGGAGGAGAGAATGATCTCTTTATTCTATTCAGGGTGGCTGAGAAGATGAGCTGGTTGAGCAGGAGTTGAGGGTGGGAAGTGCTGGGCAACTGCCACTCATATTAATTGTACTTGCAGTATCAATGCCATATGATCTAATGCAGGAGTTGGCACTTTTTCTTTCTTTCATCCCAAGCATCTTAGCACCATTATTCCAGATAAGCTTAAGGACAAGTTTCAGCTATAAATTTAATAACTCAATAGATCTATAGAGAAATATACACGGAAATTCCCTGGAGCAGAAGCTAACAATCAGCCCTAGTGAAAAGTAAAATGCATGAGAGGGTTGAGCACATAACAATATAAAATGAGCTTCTGGGAAAAGCTTAGTTAAAGAAACAATCTGGTTTCCTCCATCAGCACAGATTAGCTCCAGTGTCGGTGAGAGAGGCTGAGAATGATTTTTGAGCTTCAGTTTCATATGAGCACATCTCTGTAGGATTCTGTATTCTGTGGTGAATCAGCCTTTTCTGTGTCTTTGTGAATAATGACATTTTGTTAACTTTGCAATGTGACAAAGCCAAACAAATCAGCTCTCCCCCCATCTTCTCAAGGGTAATTTACTTTCCAGAAACGTAATTGCAGGGATTCTTTCTGAATGCTTGTCATATGCACTGGGCATCAAGAGAATTCCTTGGGAAGTGTACAAGACCCAGCCCAGAATGTTTCTAGGACAGATCCTGTGTGATTTTTATTTGTTAAAAGCAAGGTTAGCACTTGAGCGCCATTGCTAATACACTTCCAGTGGATGACAAAAAGGTCTAACAGTGTAATCTTAGATCAACTGATTTAGAATGGTGCTACTTTGCTTGAGTTGCACTGTAAGTACTGAATAAAAACAATCTATTCTTTTAAGCCCCCAGCAGATGTGTCCAGCTATTAGGAAGTTGGGAGGAATTCAGTAATTACAGACGATGACTCATCGTGTCGCAGTTCTTAACTGCTATGCTGGATACATCATAATATTTGAAGTTAATTGAAATCCCAGCTTCTACTGTTAAGAGAATGCAAGAGAACCATAGTTCACAGTGAAACAACAGCTAACTTTTCCAAAGACCAATATAAACCTATGGCTGAACTAAGACTTGAACCCAGGGCTCCTGGGGGAAAGTTTGTAATGCTACCTATAAAGATTTCTAACTTGTTTGTGAGTAGAGGAAACCTACAAAGTGTAAAAGGGTAAAAGCTTGCATGTAAAAGGAGAGATAGAGAACTGCAAGTGCAAAGGAAAATACACAAATAAAAACCTAAAGTTTGTTACATGTTTTAAGTACTTCTGCACAAATTTAATGTTTGAAAATTTAATCTGTGAAATGGAATTGCCCCCCCCCAAGTGCATTATATGTTTTAATTACACTTAGTTTTTCACAAATTTAATGTCTGAAATTTCAAATGATAAAATGGAACCCCACCATGTGAGCTACATGTTTTAATCATTTTTAATTACTTTTACACAAATTTAATGTTTGAAATTTTAAATTGTAAAACTGAGCAGCTGTGGGGAGTTGTAGACAATCTGCATTTGGGGAAGAGCCGCCAAGCCTCCCAACCACTGATAAGCATGGAATTGTTCACCCAGCTGTCCACATTCTGTTCCATTTCTTGCTTCCTTGCTTGAAGCTGGCTTTCTGTCCCTCTATGGAAGCAGCAGTTCATAAATGCTGACAGTGGGCTGCTGATTGGTCATCAGAGTCATGCTAGGATCCATCTTGAGTTGAAGTCTGTCATTCACCCAGATAGATTGCCCTTTGCCCACTTGCTTCTCCCTGTCTCCCACGGATTTGGATAATTCAGCTGATCTGACGAGGTGTGAAAAACCCATTATGGCTTCCCAGGATCTCCTATTTCTTATGGGCCCCCAGAATCTTATGGGTTTCTACTTATTAGTACATATCATGTTTCTAAGTCATGCGTTCCGGAATCAGGCCATCCATGCGGCAGATACGGTGCTCCATGGATACAATAGGCACAGAGAGTTCAGGGTTGGCTAGTTAAAAGGCGAGAGCAAATAGGTGCAAGTAGTCCATATCATATCTGCCAGAAAACCCTGCGAACCCACAGCTCCCAAATCTAATAGCTAGAGACGATGAAATTTGATTGATCGAAAGATAAAAGTTACATAAGCAGAGCAGGATGCCTAGATGATACTTTGATTGCTGGTGGCGAGCATGAGGACTGTTCACAACACACAGTGAGATGATGGATGGCAATTGTTTAGTCACAGAATTTTATTTTTAACATTATCCTTTAGGCTGTTGGAGAGCCACAAATTTAAACTCTCACCTTACGATAGCCATGATCAGAAACTCCAGAGTGGCATCTTCAGTGGCATTCTTTACAACAGTAGGGCTGACTACTTTGTTTCCAAAAATTCTGGCATCTTCAGAATTTTTTTCCCATGGGAAAAATGAAGAATATCAATAGTCAAAGTGCTCTTGGGCAGAGTGCCTGGCTTCTGTGAATGATCCTTCATTTTTACAGAGCTTGCCTGATGTATTTTTATTTTTTCTTCACATTTGTACCCTATTCTTCTTCTCAGAAACTCAAGGTGGCATAGATAACGGTTATTGTATTTAACCCCACCACTATCCAGGCCCAAGATCATCAAGCAAGCTTTGTGGCAAGTGGAGAGTCAAACCTGTGTCTCCAGCACTGTAGCAGACCTCTCTACACTGGCATTCTGTGAATTGCAGTGACCTCTATTTTACCTTCAGCTTGGCTCCCTAAAGTTATGGTGGCCTAATAGGTGCTGGGCTAAGAGGTAGCCTGGGATAAAGTAACAGTCAGTCACTTGATTGAGGGGGACAAAGTCAGGGTTCCAGGCCAGGGCTATGAAATTGAATAAACTTATCAGGAGCTGAACCCAAACATACCCATCCTTGCATACAGTTTATATAACTAATCTAACTACAGCTATTTCTGGGACTGCATCTAAATGCTGTTCTAGCACCTCACTGTCCAGCTGCAGTTTCCTAGGCAGTGAGAGGAGCAACACGAGGAAGAAGCAACAAAAACATCATCCAACTAGACAGTCATCTGCATTGGGGTTTTCTTGTACTGCTTGGTATTCAGCCGCATCTCAGTGGCTTTGGGAGGGTTTTCTGATGCTAGGGTTGTCATCCTCCAGGTGGTGGCTGGAGATCTCCTGGGGTTACAACTAATCTCCAGGTGACAGAGATCAGTTCAGCTGGGGGAAATGGCCACTTTGGAAGGTGGGCTCAATTGAAGTACCTCCTGAAGCCCTGTCCTCCTCAAGCTCCACCCCAAAAATCTCCAGGTATTTCTCAACCCAGAGCCGGCAACCCAACTATACAAGCACTGCTTTGTGTGTATGAGCCTGCTGTGGGGCTAGGGTTGCCCCCCTCCAGGTGGCACTATTACAATTGATCTCCAGACGACCAAGATCTGTTCTCCTGGAGAAGATGGCTGCTTTGGAGGGTGGGCTCTATGGCATTATACCCTGCTGAGGTCCCTTCCCTCCCCAAACCCTTCCCTCCCCAGGCTCCATCCCCAAATCTCCAGGTATTTTAGGGTTACCATGTTCTTTTTCTTCTGCGGCGGGGGGCTCCCGGACGGCATCTTGAGCGTGCGCGTGCCGCATGCACGTCAGCCGGAGGTGACGTGATGACGCCGGGCACGCTGGGGGCGGGGCCACGGCCAGTGATGACGCCGGCCACGCGGGGGGCGGGGCCACGGCCATTTGAGGGGGAAACATAGAGTTTTCCCCTCAGATGGCTGTGGCCTCGCCCCCAGCGTGCTCGGCCTCATCACGTCACCTTCGGCTGACGTGCGCGCCGGGGTGGGGTTTTCCCCCGGGCCCGATTCCACGGCGGCGGAAATTGGGCCTCCAAAGCGGGGGGAAATCCGCCCCCCGGGGGGACTTGAGAGCCCTAAGGTATTTCCAACCCAGAGTTAGCAACCCTGTTAGGGGGCTCCCACCCCAGCAATATCTAGCATTCCTACCCTGTAAGAAATGGCAGAGGCAAATGCTTTGCTTGCACTGGCAGGCAAGATTCTAAGACTAGAGGGGGCGATGAAGGCAGAGGCTTTGGCCCCCTTCTCTGTGATAGTCAGCTTCCTTCCTATGTGGGGCAGTCTGCAGAGGATCAGACTGGGAGGGAGGGATAGAGGCCGGGGCCTAGGCTTTGCTGCTGCGGTCACTCAGCCGTCATGGGGTGAGAAAGGAAAATTTTACACATCCGTTCTTTCTTATGAGGCAGAGATTGTAATTTCCAGTGAAGCTCAAATACAACTCCAGCTGCCATCAAAAGACTGAGTGCAAGTTTGTGATATGACACTTGTCTCATTGTCTCTTGAACTGGGGTTTATGTGAGTGTTGAAATGCTGGGCTTGAATGCTGCTGATTATTTTTCTTTTGACTTGTAGGCACCCAAATTGTTCACACAATGCCTGAACCGTAAGTAGGAAACTCCCTTCCCCCTTTTTCTTTTGCCGAGTTGTCCTCCATGCATATCTTGTTCGGTTCATATGGTTTATATTCAGCTTCTGATTTGGGTTCAAACTCTCATGTTGGAGACGGGCTAATTTAGATGGGACATTTATTTTGGCCCTTCTGCAGGGAATGGAACCTCCCCTCCTGAATTCCCCTTCCTCTCTCCATGATGTTTAGGTTGATTTATCTGTCTCTTGGCATCATCAAGGTATGCAGGCTTTCATCCTTGCTTGATGTCATTGGCTTCTTCTGGAAGGGGTTGGGAATATATAGGGAAATGATCTGTAAGTTTGCGGAAAGGAAGAACTGAATTCAGAGGCTATCACTTTCAGTGGCATCCCCATAATGAACATCATGTCTAATTTCATCCTTAAAGTGAGTTTCCCAAAAATCAAAGAGAAACTATCAGTGGCAGAGCTGAAACAAATATTCACAAATACTCAACACTTGTGAATTTTCCAATCTTGCCAGTCACATTTTAAAGGTGAACTCCCCTCCCCTCAAATTTTGAAAACAATGCTTTATACATGACATGATCCACTGAGTGTTTTGATTCTTGCACACTTCAGTTCTTGTAAGCCACTGACTAATATTAATTATCACCGTACGTTACAGGTGATCTCTTTAATAAGATCAGTCATGGTTGTAATGTTTTCTGGGTCTACAGATAAGATTATCAAAATGAGGAATGGCTTAAGACAACTCTTCTATGAACAGCAACTAAAACATCTTGCACAGCAGTCTTTAAGTTTGGACTTTCCCTAAGATTCCACCACGGTTTGTTGTAGACCAACCAATTAAGGCCATGTGATCTAAGGAAAGTCTAGAAATTACTGAAACTTATCCTTGTAAATATATGACAGTATCTCTAAATTGTAAATGTTATCACCCTAATAGTTGTCAAGCTTCCCTTCCTCACCAAGGATCAGCTACTGGGAATGCTGCCTATGTTCTACAAAACCTCTCAATGGGTAACGGAGAATGATGAGGGCAACACAGTGCCCCGTGTAAACTGAGCATTCCTCAAAACCCTCTTCCACATTCAGGGGTATTGTTGCCAACAAACCAAAAGTGAATATGACATCAATATTCACAAGACAGAATTTTGAAGAGCAAAATTAGTTTCAGCTATAAACAGTGACAGTGCAGTTCTAAACACAATTACATCCTTCTAAGCTCACTGACTTCAGTGAAGGGTGTAACCATGTTTAGGATGGCACTGGAAGCTCTTGTATCAGTTCTACAAACTAGTCACTAGAGAGCAGAGAGGGACCTACACTTTGCAAGAGTGGAGTGACCTGGCGGTCAACATTTATCATGGGGTAGCTTTTGCTGAAAGAATCATATCTTTTTAAAATTAAGATTTTTATTGTTTTCACACAAAAAGGTAATATAACAAACAAACCCTATATAGCCCACCCCCTCCCTCTTCCCTAATGTGTCCTATTAGAAGAGAAGGAAAGGTGGGGGGGGGAAGGGTAGGGCAGAAATGTAGGTTAGGAAAGTAAGGTGCAGCATTATGGATTCAATTAAACAAGGAATAAAGATGAGACAATATCATTGTTCGAATAGGTACAGGAATTCATGCTAAATGGAAGTGAAGGTTCTGGGAACCTTTCACCTGTTAAATGCTATTCTCATATCTTTTCGCTGCTTCCACACCTGGGGATAAGAAGTCCTTTTCATCCTTTTGTTTTCACATAAGTCACTCATTCACAGACTATTCACCCTACATCCCGCTCACAGATTTGATTAGAAACTGGGAATCAACTGGACTGAGAACAGCTGTAAAAATCCACAGCAATATTCATGCTTGGTTTTTACTATATAGATATTCCTGTTTTATGGCAATCCCTTTGAGAATGTATGATATTTTATATCAGTGAGCAACAGAGTTGTGCAAAATGCCTAAAATATTTTAAATCACATTTTAATGATCTCTAACAGTAAGCTACATTTCCATATTCCCATGTTTGTAGGCAAACATTTTTGGCATGAAAAGGGAGCTTCAGTTGCATCCTCCAATAGCCTTCAAAAAACCTTACCATTTTTGTCTTTTGCACCTATCCACTCTTGTTCACTGCCCCACTGAGCAGCTTTGGTGAGGGGGTCTACTGGTTGCCTAGGTGACCCGGCCAATCAGGGATCATGATGATGCCATGACCTCAGGTAGCCAGTCCTATTCATATATGTCAGTGGCTCTCAACCTTTTTGAGCCTGCAGGCACCCATGGAATTCTGATCCAGAGTGGTGGGTGTGACTACAAAATGGCTGCCACAGGCGGTGAGCCAAGTACAAAATGTCAAGGAGTGAGGCAGGGTTACCAGCTCCAGGTTGGAAAATTCCTGGATATTTTTTTGGGGGGGCGGGGTGGATCCTGAGGATGGCAGGGTTTGAGGAGGAGAGCGACCTCAGTGGGGTATAATGGCAGAGAGTCCACCCTCCAAAGCAGCCATTTCCTCCAGCAGAACTGATCTCTGTAGTCTGGAAACCAGTTGTAATGCTGAGAGACCTCCTGGCCCCACTTGGGGATTGGCAACCCTAGAGTAAAGTTATGGATACCTCTAATAGCAGCTCTTCAATGTTTCAAGCAGAAGCTCTGTTTAACAGGAAGTTTAATTAGAATATTTTTCTGAAAAATTCTCACATGCATACTGTTTACCTTCAGTAATTCCATGAAAATCCTTGTACTGTGGTGGCAGCTTCTGCCAAAGGAACTTTTAGCAAAATCTGCGTAGCTAGTCAAAAACCTTGCTGGACAAAAGCCCCACCTGGCCCTACCCACATTGGTGACCCCTGGCCTATGTGTTGATGGTACAAAGTTAGGACAGAGTAACAGCAATGGCTGCTTCCTTCAGGGGTCACATAGACCTATGGTTGCCAACCTCCAGGAGGTAGCTGGAGATCTCCCACTATTACAAATGATCTCCAGGCAGCAAAGATCAGTTCCCCTGGAGAAAGTGGCCACTTTGGAGGGTGGACTTTGTGGCATTATACCCCATTGAAGTCCCACACCCACCCAACCCCACTCTCTTCAGGCTCCACCTGCAAAATCTCCAGGCATTTCCCAACCTAGAGCTCGCAATCCTACATAGACATCATGATGACATCACAAAGGTATACACCCATCCAGTCAGATTTGGCTGTGGGAACCTGCCTCAAACGTAAATCAGAAAAAAGGCACCTTTTACTGTCAATGAATAAACATTTTGCCTGTTTCACAAATCCTACAGGGTATACACCCAGCCAATCAGATTTGGCTGTAGGAACCTGCCTCAAATGTAAATCAGAAAAAAGGCACCTTTTACTGTAGGACAGAGTAACAGCAATGGCTGCTTCCTTCAGGGGTCACATAGACCTATGGTTGCCAACCTCCAGGAGGTAGCTGGAGATCTCCCACTATTACAAATGATCTCCAGGCAGCAAAGATCAGTTCCCCTGGAGAAAGTGGCCACTTTGGAGGGTGGACTTTGTGGCATTATACCCCATTGAAGTCCCACACCCACCCAACCCCACTCTCTTCAGGCTCCACCTGCAAAATCTCCAGGCATTTCCCAACCTAGAGCTCGCAATCCTACATAGACATCATGATGACATCACAAAGGTATACACCCATCCAGTCAGATTTGGCTGTGGGAACCTGCCTCAAACGTAAATCAGAAAAAAGGCACCTTTTACTGTCAATGAATAAACATTTTGCCTGTTTCACAAATCCTACAGGTTATTACCAAAGTGATAATTACCATGTTCATTGGGGTGGGGAAATTGTTGTCCTGGAACTAATATTCACATGTTTCCCATGCATATTCTTATATGGAGTTATGGGCTGTATAAATCTGAAATCTGTGGAACGGGTCCTATGAATCATACAATACATTTGCTACAGGATCCAATCACTTCCTGATCAGAGCAGGTTGAAATGTGGCTGGGAAGATCCAGGTAATATGGAAGGGATGTCACCAACAGCAGGAAGGAAAAAGTCAGGATAATCCCATCAATCCTGGGCTAGGTGCAAGGCATGTGTTGTAAGCAATTTTTACCCACCAAGACCAAGATGAAGGGTTTATTGAGAACTGAAAGACAAAGGAATCCAGAGATTCCTTCTTCCCTTTGGAATGTAGGGAGAAGGGGGTGGGGTAGGTCCACTGGGGTCCAGCAACGGGCCAAATAGGAGGCTGAGTAGGGGGTGCTACATCAAGAAGTCTTACAGTGCAAACCTAAACTGATTCACACACTCTTCAAAATCAAAGGTGTAACTTAACTTAGAATTACATTTTGAGGATGAGTGCGGAGAAGTGGTGGTGTGGATTGTGGTCACTTTTTCATGCAGTGTCAGTTAATTCCATGTTAACTATCTAAAAACTATTGAGGATAATATCCTTATAACATTCTTCATATTCATTCTGTCTCCTGTTTTCCCCCCATCTGTTCCTTTTTCTTCTCTCAAATGAACTCCTGAAGGGAGGTAAGAGCTGTTTCAGGGGTACCTTTTCTGTGAATTTTCAACATGGCTATGTATTTGATTAGAGGTTTGTTTGTAAAATGGCTGTCTCTTTTTGCTCCCTAGAGAAAATCCAAGATCTCAGCCTCGCGCAAACTCCTTTTGAAGGTGAGTTGTGATACAACGCCACCTTTCCTGGACATGTCTAAACAAAGCAAATGAATCCATTATCCTCTCATAGCTATCATGAATGTGGCGGCACACGCACACTCACACAGTCACATATGAAATCACACACACACACTCTTCCATACAGACTTTGGTAATTAACAGGGCTTTTTTTGTAGAAAAAGCCCAGCATGAACTCATTAGCATAATAGGCCACACCCAACAGCAGACACTCATTAGCAAATTAGGCCACACCCTTGAAAGCACAGCACATTAGCATATTAGGCCACACCCCCATGTCACCAGAAGTGTCTCTCAGGAGGGTGGGGCATAATGCCACAGAGGTGACCCTCCAAAGTGGCCATTTTCTCCAGGGGAACTGATCTTTGGAGTCTGGAGATCAGGCACAATTCTGAGAGATTTCCAGTCCCATCTGGAATTTGGACACCCTACCTCTGGCATAACATCTTTCTGAAAACACACAACAAATATTAAGGTAGTGTGTGGCTAGATCCCGTTCCTTTAAAACATTCTGGCTTCTTTGTTTCAGAGTTTGATGCTGGCTAAGGCCAAAGAACAGTGGGAACAAGAGCAAGTGGACAAACAAGGAGAGAAGGAGAGATATTTGTCAGAGAGGGTTGCACCTCTGCGGACCAGTGGACTTTCCTCAAGCCAGCTTCAGGTAGATTTTTGGTCTGGACATTGGAGAGGAAGTCAAGATGGCTGTTGAGCATGGTGAAGGTCTAATAAGAACTGTATTAGGAGGGTCAGCTCCAGCCTCCAGTCAGTGATTCAATTCACACTCACAGGCAGGAAAGAAAAAGTTCATTCATGCTTCAGAGGCAGATTGTAAGAGGTGCTTAAAAGAACTATCTGGAGGGACAGGTAGCCTAAAATATCACTTTTAATAATGTCTTATGGTATAACAACACTTTACAACTTCCTTAGTGGGCAGCAGTAATATTATTTTGTGAAAACCAAAAATAGGTCCCCTTCTCCAATATTTTCTTCAGTTTTCCACAGGAAAAGGTATAGAAATGGCCTTTTTTTGGACTAGTTTTTTGGGTAAGCTGGCAAACCAGAGCACAAGACTTTGAGAAAACGTCCCTTGACCACTTTTCTTTTTAACTGTACAGGACCTGTGCAGGGAGCTACATGAGAAAATAGACGTCGTGGATGAGGAACGCTATGACATAGAAGCAAAATGTAACCATAACATGCGGGAGGTGAGAAGGCAAAATGATCCTGCTTAAGTTCTAACAGAAAATCTGTATTTATTGTTCTGAGAAAAACTGGTTGGATTTGGGACCAGGCATTTATGGCAGTCAGCTCAGAGGTAACTGGAGGGAAGCTATCTCTTGAATGGAAATTTAATTAGAAGATTTCTGGAATTTCCATAGAGTTCTGGAACAATATTTTAACAGGGAGCTTTCAGACTCCTCCTCCATTGCAGTTGTGAGGTCTTCAGTATGAAGAAGACAACTCTTGACTGTTGTTTCTGAAGTTTGATGTATGTATGGGTTTTCCTGCTAGTGGTAGAAATAAAGTATGTATGAGAGGGATACAGAGCAGCACTTTCACAAGCTTTTACAAGTACAAAAATATATTACTTGTACTTATAAAAGCTTGTAAAAGTGCTGCTCTCTATCTCTCTTTGTACCCAGAATCTCAAGGCAGATATTACTTCCTGTGGTCGAGGAAGATGTTCAGATTCATTCTAACTGGTTCCTGTTTAGGAATGAATCTTATGTATGGATCATGACCTTGTGTGGCTTCTCTTCCTCCGCAGATTAAAGACCTAAAATTGAAAGTGCTTGACCTTCGGGGAAAATTCAAACGGCCTCCACTGCGGCGTGTCCGGGTTTCTGCCGACGCCATGCTGAGGGCTCTGCTTGGGTCTAAACACAAAGTTTCCATGGACTTGAGAGCCAATCTCAAATCTGTCAAGAAGGAGGACACTGAAAAGGTTGGTGGCCACAAATCCTACAAATGGTCCCATATCTTAAGGCTACTTGAAATGTTGCTTTTGGAAGGTTAAACCAAGTGTCCATTTTCTTTAGACTGAACAATTGGTCCTATGGATATTTCCTAGCATACTCTGGTCATTTCAATCCAACAGTTGTCAAAAACAGCATTTAAAATCAGGTTGAGGGGTGTGCACATCATGATTTACCTTTGCTAATCAAGCTAACATATTTTCTCCATACTGATGACAGTTATTTCTCAGGTGTTAAGAGTGGCTGCCAAAAAGAGGGCTTTTATTCAACTAAAGTTTCAGCAAATGCTCTTCAGAGGGCTGCCATGAAGCTTGGTCCCTTCTCCAGCCCCAGTACTACTCGACTTTTGTATATGGAGGTCCCATGATCCCCAATATAATGTTTTTCAAAGAGACTCTTCTTTACACTATGGTAAAACCATAATTTTATTGTCCTCTTAGGATTACCAGGCAATGTGAGTTATGGGTGGGATGCCTCCCACCATACTAGAAGATCTGGCAACAGACAGGGCCTGGTAGCATACATAGATAGGATACTTGCCCAAAGAAGAGCTGTTTAAGTTGGAAGGAGGTTCCTCAGGCTGGAAGAAATCTTCAAATGGTAGGGTACAGCCCATTGTGTATTTCTGGGTCACGTGGGAGGAAAACTGCAGCTGAAATTAAAAAAAAAAGAATGGACACATAATGAAGTAAAAGGTACCATATATGAGTTAAATAATTTGAACAACATTCAGTTACAAGGGGTCATGAAGCATATTATACAGTTATAGGCTGGGAGCATGGAAGCTCATAATATGATAGGGGCAAGACATATTGTGAGTTCTTACAAGTATCACTAGAGGGACTGGGGGTGCTAATGAAGGCATGTTCAAATGCTAAAATAATGTAATTGTAGAAAGCCTAGCACAGTTTCTCCTGATTTGTACTGGATTTTCCTAGGCAGAAAAGGCAATCCTTGGAGGTGTTTATGGCTCTCTCTGTCCGGTTTGTATATCAGCCTTCCCAGCTTTGGAGGCATATGGAGAATATTTCATAATAAGGAAAGGAATTCACAGTGCATATGAGCGGTTGCGTAGTGCTGAATGTAGAGGAAGCATTAGGTTTGATGCTCTTGCTGTTCTCTTTATTGATCATAAAATCTCTCAGATCTGAAAAAAAATCTGCATGAGGTAATTTTCTGATAAGAATGATAAGGTCTAGAAAATGCCCAGAACTTGACACTTGAAATACGGCATGGTTGCTAGAGTGCGTTATTTATTTATTATTCAAATTTACATCAGTGAGGGTCTTTTTTTTTGCTCAGCCATCTGAGTGTCTGGAGGCAGCTCAAAGAGCCTCTGTGTGTGTTAGTGCCCCCTGAGTCTGTATGCATTTGTCAAAACTCACTTGGGATGAACTAGGCACATGTCAACTGTGATTCCCCACTCACCATGAAAAACACATTGGGTGACTCAAGGCTAGTCATTCTTTCTCTGCTTAGCCTACCTCATAGTGTAGTTGTAAGAATAAAATAGAGGAGAAAATAATGTACACTAATGTCAGCTCCTTTGAGGATGGGTGGGATAAAAATGTAATAAATACACACATAAAGGTTGCTAAGGTTGGGCCAGCTTGATAGTGTTGGCTTCCATTTAAAAAAGTACAAAACTCCATTTTGAGAACTCGACAAGCTTGCAAAAGCTGACATGTCTCCCAGATATGTGTGCCTGATTCATTTCTTTGGTTTAATCCTGTTTGCCATCACAGTGAATGGTTTGCATGCCTTTCCCTTGACTTGGCCAGCCTAAGAAGGAAGGTGTATTGTGTCTGTGCTTCCTATTCTATATGGGATTTCTTACCTGGCGGAGATGTAGCTACCCATTCCTATGCATGATGTCATTCATGACTTACTCAGCTCTGATTGGTTCAGGGCCCTGGAGACACGATCTTTGTTGGATTCTGTTTTCTTCATGCTCTGGCAAATGCTGGGAAAATATGTGCTGAAAACTGATGAGGTGAAGTCAGTTGGCTTACAGAGGGCAGGAAGCCAGCATATACAGGCTTTTCAGGCAGCTGCCACCCACACAGACAGTTGCGTGAATTGGCTGGACTGGCTCCTTTCCAAACAGAAGATTGTGTACTGACCTTAAAGAAGCATGGGGATGTTTTTAAGGTCTCAAGATTGTGCTGTAGCATGTTTTTACAGCAATTATGATTATAATGATGATGCAGATTTTCAGTGATGAAAGCAAGGGGCAGTTTATTGCCTTGTTATAGCAATCTGGCCCTCCTCCCTCCCTCATATGCAGGGTTTTCCCTTCCATCTTCTTTCTTGCTGAGCAGCCCCATTATCTATTTTGTTCTTATTTGTTTGTCTATGGCTGTCCCACCCAGCTGCTATATACACTTAGAGGAGAGAGGCTTTCTTTTCATTCTCTGCTTAAACACTCAAACATAGGTTTCTGAGTTTCATTGACACATAAAGGTTAGAAGGCAGGAACATACAACCAAATTCCCAAAATCCTTCTTTATGCACAGACTAGGGATCACTCCTCTTTTCTAGAAGCTAGTCCCCTTCTTAACTGGGCAGGGATCACTTCTCTTTACTAGAAGCTATTTCCCCTTTTTGACTTGAATGAGGATCCTCCTTGATCCACTCACTCTCTTAGCCTCTTTTCCAGTCCACAGTCAGTGCTTAACAGACTCTCTCGACATAATTCCATTCAAACAGCATGTCACACAGAGGCGCTCAGACTCTGTTAGGCATTAACCCTTGACAGTCTGTCATGATTCCCAAACAGCACAACATGGGTTCCTGGCATATAATTTTATTTTATTTGTGTGTGCACATGAAAGCTTATTCCTTGAATAAAACTTTGTTGAACTTAAAGGTGCCACTGGACTCAAACTGTCCAACATTTATCAGTGTTAATGTACATTTGTTCAGAAACAACCCTTAGTCTGCACAACCCTTAGCCAAAGAAAGACAAACGTCTCTCTGTTTGACGGTTGCTCTTTATATTAAAAAAGCAACCAGAGAACAACCTTCTTTCCAGGAAACTAGAAATGAGGCTTCAGGCACACATACTTTTTGCACTGTGTGTGGTCTTGGCACAAATATATCCATCCTGTGACCATAGAGGAGTCCTCCAGAACTGACCAGACTTACAGTTATTAAAGGAGGAGTGAGCCAATAGACTGCTTCCTGGTGCTGGCCAGAGCAGTAATTCCAGATGGACGGGCATGCAGAGGGGAACAGGAACAGTAAACTGAGTGGGAAAGGATGTGCAGCCAGTCAGGCAAGGACCTGGCTCACTCTCATCTACCAGTGATGTAGCAAGCAACCACCGGTGTAGCTCCAGTGACAACAGCCTATATTCAGCCGCTGCTCAGCTTTCTGCCCATGTGCAAGTAGGATACGGTGTCACGATCTGTTTCTTTGACCAACACTGAGGGTGCACCCTTGTTATGCCACCCCAGGCAGTTGTGTACATGGCTTGGTCAAAGAATCAGCCCGCGTTTGTGCAATACATTACAGATCTCAGTTCATTTATTCAGCTCATGTGGCATAATGCTTCTGCTTCTTTTCATATGAGGGTTAGGCCACTGCCAACACATCTCTTTTCCCAACACATCTATTGCTACGTTTGCTCTGAGGAGTACTACTTGACTGCTGATTCACTCACATAATAAACTCATGTTAGCTTTGTGGATTAGCTTCCTGTGTGCAAGTTAAGCACAGTATTTTGAGCCCAGAGTATGGTTGGAGGGGACAAGATACAACCTTCAGTAACCTTGCTGAAGAAAACACGTTCTAGGTCTCCTAGTTCCTGTATGGGGGGGGATCAATCAGTACTTCGGTGTCTGCTGCTTTGAGTTCTGTCATTGAACAAAAGGGAGATATAAACACAATAGAAACAAGAAGACTTTTTTGCACACCTCTATAAACCTATGGCTGGAGCACTGGCAACGACACATAAAAACCTTTTTCGCCTGACTGCATTTGGGTGGGTGGGCTCAAGAGGAGCAGTTAGAAGCAGGTGGCATATGCTTGGTGACAGGGAAGACTAAGCTCATTTGTGTAAATGTGTACAACTGATACTTTTTCTGCTATTCATTGGAGAATAAATGGTTCTTCCCACCCCTCCAGGGTATGAGATTTCACCAGGCACTGCCCAATGCTCACCCATCTTGCCTTTGTAGGCATAAGGTCAGGAAACTTTGAAATGAAACTGAACTCCCCAGGATGCTGGATTCTTTGACACATACTATATTTTTCTATGGCAGTAACAGAAGATGTACTGTTCTGTGTTGGGCAGTATGAATGCAAAAGGATTGACTTCCTGGTTCCATTCACAGGAGCGTCCCGTTGAAGTGGGCGACTGGCGTAAGAATGTGGAAGCCATGTCAGGAATGGAGGGCAGGAAGAAGATGTTTGATGCTGCCAAGTCTCCAACAGGACAGTGAGAGGTACTTTTGTCTCGTTTACATAGTAGTTGTTCTTGACACTACAGAAGTGTCTTGGTCTCAGTGCAGTTCTCAGTGATGCTTCTAGTCCTAAGCTGAGTGTGGGCACCCCTTAAATGCCAGGCATATGGGAGGGTGTGGGGTAGATGGGAGGGAGGGTGTTGAGCCCCACTTTCCCCCATAGAGACTAATAGTACTCAACAGTGGCATTTAGCTCAGTATCAGAGCAGAGACTGTGAATTTCACATTACCCTTTTTAACCCGTTTTGAAGCCGTTTTTGATCTGTCATGGAGTAAACTGCCATAGGGCTGCCATTTCACACATGGCTTTCCCCTTCTGGTAAAGAGCTGGATCTGAAGCGGTTTGCCATTTCAGACTGCTCCACTTTCCCTCCGCCATTTTTCACCCGTGCGGGCGATCTCCGCCTTTTTTTTTTTAACGTTCACTTTATAGCACTATAGCACTATAACAAAACACTCCAGGCATTCCAATGGTGTTTATACTGCTGTTCCGTTATAGCGTTATAGCGCTATAATGCTATAAAGCGAACGTTTAAAACGGTTCTGTCTGAAATGACAGACCAGAAACCGTTCGGGAACTGTTCCTCTTCCGGATTATATCATCTGTCAGAAATTCCTCTGTGTCTTTTTACACCACTCCCATCCCTATTAACAAAACTGTTCCATTGCATTTTCCTGTTGTTTCTTTCAGGTCCATTACAGAAGGACGAAGACTGTTTCCCACAGTGCCTGCATCTCTTTGCCCATCTTTTGCCCTTACCTTGCCTCATCTTCTTGCATTAACTTTAGAGTCACAACAGTTCTGAATGTTACTGAAAGATGGCCATGACTTTGCACTTCATGCACTCTCAACTCTGCCTGAACCAGCAGAACTATCAAAAGAAAGGTGCAGTTTCTTCTAGCCAGCCAGGCCCGTGGTGTGACCAGTGAGCTTCTCATGGACTGCAGCATTCCCCCTGAGGTTGTCTTTGACCAGGCTGGAAAGGCCGACCTTGAGAAGAGGAATGTACTGAAGTGCAGAGGGACAGAGGGTAATTAAACTTAGCCGGCCATCCTGTGCCATACAGAAGAGCTCACCAATTGCATTAGCTAGTAGATGCAGAAAGGCAGATCTGTCGGCCTCCCTAGTTCTTATGCATGAGGGATGTTGCTAGGGATTTTGGCCTCTTCTTCCCATCCAGAAATCTGGGTGATCAACTCCATGGTACTCCAGCCCTCTCCGTGACAGTTCTGATATGTACAGCTAGGAGGATACAAACTCTGTTTCTCTCCATTCATTAAAAAAAAAGCAGTAGCAAGGACAAAGACCACAGGTCCCTGAGCTTCTTTGCAGTTTGCCTGAGTGCTGTGATGGATGTGTGAGGGTGAATCTTTTGCCTCTTTTAAAGGTTTACATTAATGGGCCAGGGGCCCTATCTGTCTGGTCACCATTTCCGCATCACCAATTCCATTGGACACCAGCTTGCTTTGGTTTTAGCTTTAACTCCATCTCCACAATAAGATATGCTCATATCTGAGGTGGTATTTCCTGGGGACATAAAAGAAGTGGTGTCAGACCACTGGCTCTTCTTTTATTTATTTATTTATTTATTAGATTTTTATCCCGCCCTCCTGGCCCAAGCCCTCCCGCGCCCCCCGGCCTAAGCTTTTGGCTTTCCAAGATCTTATATAGTTCTTCTAACTGGAAATCTTTAATTAGAGATAGAAAGATTAAATCTGGAGCCTTATGGATGCAAAGTGAGTTCTCTACCACTGAGCTATGGTAGATGAAGGGTGTTATTCAAGAGAGTTTTGGAAGAGCATAGTAGTTGAAGCACCTTTCAAGGTGCTCCTGAACACATCCCCAAGCAATGCTCCTCGTTCAGCCCCCGTGAATCTCCTCTAGACTGCTGGGTCAGCCTTAGGGGGTAAAAGAAAAGTGACTTGGCAGAGGAGGAGGCATGGTCATGCTCTGCTGCTGGAAGGCAAAAGCAGCACAGGCATCTGGGAGTGTCCCTGAGGTGATGCTATTCAAAAAGGGACTGAACTTCCATGCCTTTAAGGGCTTTGATATTCCACGGCTGCAGCTTCCTCCACCTGATATCCCTTTTGGAATGTGGTCATTTTGAGGGGAGGGGAGGGGAGGGGAGCTCCTCACTTTTCTCCTTAGCAGCATTCTCCTGGGAGTTGCCTGGAAGATCCCCCAGCAGATTGCAGGCGAGAAAGTGAATTTAGGGTGTATCTGTGAGAAAGAGGAAGAAGAAGGTATAGGTGAGACAGAACATACATGATACTTATAAGCAAATGCACATTGTGTGTGGGTTTTATTAATGGCCAAAATGAATCGTGGAAAAAGAAGAAGAGTTGTTTTTTATATCCCAGCCTTCACTACCCGAAGGAGTTCCAAAGCAGCTTACAACTGCCTTCCCTTCCCTTCCCCACAACAGGCACCTTGTGAGGTAGTGGGGTGAGAGAGTTCGGAGAGAACTGTGTCTGGCCCAAGGTAACCCAGCAGGCTTCACATGGAGGAGTGGGGAATCAAACCCAGTTCTCCAGATCAGAGTCTACAGTTCTTAACTACTACACTGTGCTGGAAAACCATTCCTCATTGTTGATGTATGGCACTTGTGTATTTTATACCGAGAATATTCTAAGTTATATTACAGGAGGAAAAAAAATTCTAACTCTCAGACCATGGAACAGAAACCACAAGGTGAGGCCTGGCTCTCTCCATAGTGGTAAACCTGTGTGTAGGTTGTATCATTTCAGGGTGCCCACATGATACAAAGTTTTTCATACAAAGAAAAAAAAATCCCTATGGATAGTTGCATTCTTTCATCTAGGTATCTATACAGAGGGATTTTTTCTGAATATAGAAATTATCTGAGGTTCTCACCTGCAATCTCAGACATATACCACCTCAGCAAGAAATTAGTCTACACAAATGAAAAAAAAAATTATATAATTCTGGCTATCTTTTATGTGTATGCTATGGCCCAAGGGATCTCCCTACAGAAAAGACTACCCCTCACCCCTTCCTGGTCATTTGACTCATCTCTAGGACATCCATTAAGATTCTGGCATATCTATATATTTTGCTGTTCAAAAAAGCATCACTTGAATGGAATTCTATTGACAAAATGGGGAAATCGTAATTCAAAGCCTGACCAGTAGATGGCACCCTTTATATACAATGTATGCATACTCCCACAACAAGGGGAGCAGTGTGGTCCCAGGAACATCACTCCGGGGATGAGTCATTCTCCTTGACTTGACACCAGCACTTCCTCAAACGAAGACTTTACCTGATTTCAAAAATACCTCCATGGACAATAGCTAAGAGATGCTGACTTTCGGGGTTACCAGATTACAATTTTGTCCTAAATCTCACTTTGTTGGGTGCTTGTAGACAAGAATTTCCACACATACAACACACCACAAAAATATTCACCTCATTTTTGCCCAAGCACTTGCCAGATGCGCACCAGGCCACTGCAGATCTCCTTTTCCTGGGATTCATTTTCTAGTAATGCTTTTCAGGGTGCACCAGGGGATACAGTGAGAGTCCTGAAACAGGCATGGAAACTCTGCCTGTAGCTCTGTGGGTCCTGCACAACGCTTGGTGCATCACCATAGGTTGCAAATGATCCACTTTCAAATAGTGTGTTTGAAATGCTCAGAGCCACATGCAGCTGAAGAAGACCTGTCCCTCACCAAGAAGAATATTGGTAAGAAGAATATGCCCTAAAGTCAGAACCAACTTGGCTGGTAGGTGACCCCTTCCACAGGGCCTTCCAGGTGTGAGATGAGAAGGGGTAGATTGCCATTGCCTTCCACTGTGTCATTCCTCCTGACTTACTTGGTGGTCTCCCATGTAGGTACTACTAACCATGACCAACCCTACGTAGCTCCCAAGATCAGAGAAGCCCAGGCTATGCTGGACTATTCAGGCTGCTACCCTATATAAAACAGCATGAAAAGGGGGAGGAGGGCTGTGGCACCTGGAAACAAACCCCTTTAATTGTGATGTGAATTATGGGTACCTTATTTCATGTGAGCCTTTGACAGATATCCAGGCACAAGGGAGGGGAAAGTCTTTAAAACACCACAGCAGGGTCTATCTTCCCATATCATTCCCCCTTTAAAGGCTGTGATTCGTTGATTTGCCGCTGTCACATTCTCCCAACTAGTCTCGGGACCTTCCATTGTTCTTGCTTCCTTCTTGTCAGCTCCAGAGAACAAAAAAGCATGTCCCAGATTGATTTTGGGTGGTCCAATAAAACCCTTCCTTTTACAAAAAATCAGTTCTTTTCCATCCTCCCGCCTCCTGGGGCCGAAGCAGATGCCTCGACTGGGCATGTTATTGCCTCGCTGGGCATCTTGCCACAAACCACAACAGATCAGCACACTGCCTCGGCTGCAGTTTACCAGTAACTAAGTTCAGTGGGTTCTTTGTGCATCTCAGAAAAATGTTTTCCACCTCATACAACAGGAATGCAGTTATTAGATATGCCAGGAGCCAGCATTACTCATCCATTCAGGGCTACAGGGACAGGTAGTGTCTTAAAAAGGCTTGTGGAGTTGGTATTTTTGGCCTAAGGTTATCTGGAAGAACAAGGTGAGAGTAAGTAAAGAAGCTGCACGATGCAATCTACTTAAGAGTAGGGTGAGGTGAATAGGTTGCAAAGGACCCACTTTTGAAGCCACAATAATGTATCAGTGAGGCTCACCCAGATCCACAGATTGGGTGGGAGGAAGAGGTCCTTTCACTGGTCTCATTGGCTATGTGCAAACCAGCTGCCTCAAAGTCCTGCCATCACTGCTACTGACATTCTCAGTAGTACAAAAATAGTCAACCAGTTTGGTTTAAAATAATGATGTGCATGAAATAGAGGGTTGATCCACAGAGATCCAGGCCTATCTAAGTCTGCATTCCTAAGCATGAACAAGCCAATTTTGAAGCCACAATAATATATCAGTGAGGCTCACCCAGATCCACAGATTGGGTGGGAGGAAGAGGTTCTTTCACTGGTCTCATTGGCTATGTGCAAACCAGCTGCCTCAAAGTCCTGCCATCACTGCTACTGACATTCTCAGTAGTACAAAAATAGTCAACCAGTTTGGTTTAAAATAATGATGTGCATGAAATAGAGGGTTGATCCACAGAGATCCAGGCCTATCTAAGTCTGCATTCCTAAGCATGAACAAGAAAGTAACCCCTGTTATATGGTACACACAGCATGGTGTACATTAATCTAAGTCTGCATTCCTAAGCATGAACAAGAAAGTAACCCCTGTTATATGGTACACACAGCATGGTGTACATTACTCATCCTTAGTATGGGAAGAGAGAAGAAGAAGAGATTGGATTTATACCCCGCCCTTCACTTGGAGTCTCAGAGCGGCTTACAAACTCCTTTCCCTTCCCCTCCCCACAACAGACACCCTGTGAGGTAGGTGGGGCTGAGAGAACTCTGACACAAACTGCCCTTTTTCAAGGACAGCTGTGCCAGAGCTTGTGACTGACCCAAGGTCACATCAGCAGGTGCAAGTGGAGGAGTGGGGAATCAAACCCGGTTCTCCCAGATTAGAGTCTGCACACTTAACCCCTACACCAAACTGGCTCTCAAACCACTACACCAAACTGGCTCCCAAACTGGGAAGCACCATGGCATAAGTGCCATATAACAGCAACATTAGCTCATCATTTAGGGTTCCTACGTTTAGAGAGGATTCATATATGCCTAACTTTTGGGGGATTGGCTCCAAATGATGATGGCCACTTGTGTCCTTCTGTTCTGCTCAGCTGACACCTTCCTTTCACTTAAGGAGTTCTTCCTCTGGTGGAAGAGCTCCTTAGGCTGTAGGCTGGCAGAAAGCATCAGATCTCACTAAGCAGGCTGGAAGGAAGCAGGCCATTAGTTCTACATATTATTGGTTTAAAACCAACAAAATAATTATTTTGGTCATTTCATAGAACCATAGAATTACAAGAGTTGGAAGGGGCCATAGGGGCCATCTAGTCCAACCGCCTGCTCAGTGCAGGATCGGCCTAGAGCATCCCTGACAAGTGTTTGTCCAGCCGCTGCTTAAAGACTGCCAGGGAGGGGGAGCTCACCACCTCCCTGTCATTTGATCGATAATCATGGACAGCATAGGCATTATCTCTGCAAGCACAAAGCCTAGAAACGTACTTTTTATGAACAAAAGTAGAAATTCTCAGATTTTTAGCATGCGTCAAGATGAGAAAAAGTGGAGTTCACTGATTATGTGCTGGGTGCTACCCAGTCAGTTAACAGA